AGACAGACAGACAGATAGGATAAATGAGAGAGAAGGCCAGATCTTTAGAAGGCCAGATCCTGAAGAGGAAACTCCAATACTTTGGCCACCTAATGAGAATGAAGGACTCACTGGAGAAGAGCCTAATGCTGGGAACGATGGAGGGCAAAAGAAGAAGGGGATGACAGAGAAGGAGGTGGCTGGATGGAGTCACTGAAGCAGATGGCGTGAGATTGAATGGACTCCAGAGGATGGTAGAGGAGAGGAAGGCCTGGAGGAACATTATCCATGGGATCACAATGGGTTGGACACAACTTCCGCAACTAACAACACCTAACAACCCAGAGATTAAACAGACCTTAGCAAACTCCCTTGTAGGCTGGACTCAAGCAAACACCTATGTCAAAATGGGCTCTGCTGCATTGGGGACATGGTGTAAATTTAATTGTGGTTTATTCTATAAACCACCTTTAAGCAGACAGACGTAGCTTGACATGTGAATGAAAGTACAGCACAGAAAAAGAGCTTCAGAAGGAATGTGTATGATCTTTAGATAAAGACTGCCCTGTATTTGAAGTTTACAAAATTAAGTGCTTTGTGCTGAAATTTGGATTTAATGCTCTGCTCTTATTTCCAAGCTGCTTGGGAAAATGAAAGCATTAAATCAGGCTCCGGTCTGAGGTTTCTTTTCCCTTACATCTGTTCCCAATCCATAGTCATTTGCTCTCTTCTGCGACTCTAATAGGTTTCCTTATAAAAAAAAATCCCCCACATTTAATACAAAAGCTGTGCTCGTTATAATGAGCTTAAAATCTCTAATGGTTCTTCTTACTCCAAATTGCTTCGAGTTCTCCACCGCACCACATTAAGTTTGGGAAGGAGGGATTTCTGCTTAATAGATCCTTTGAAAGGCTATTTTGTGAAAGGGGATGGATTTTCTCCTCTTTTTTTTCTCCTGCAATTAGAACCGAGGAAATCCACTGAAGAAGTTCTTTACGGCATTTTTTTTTTTTTGGGGGGGGGGGGCTTTTTATTTTTTTGGTGTTTTCCTAGCACTGTCATAGTTTGTGGGGGGGGGGGAATGAAGCTGCTGGATTTGTGCTGTGAAAATCACAGATGGCTCTAGGTGGCAGCAGAGTGTTGGCGTGTCCTGAATCTCTTTTCTGCCATCTAGTGGCCACTCAGAATATCGCAGCCCAGGAAAAAGTGAGTTTAAGGTCCTTTGGTGCCCTCTGAGCTTCGTTGTTTTCTTGCAGACATCTCATTACCCAAACTAGGTAACATCATCAATGCTAGAAGGGAGTAGGGGGGATGTCTGAAGGAGTTGAACCCTTGGAGTTGGCCCCCTGATAGGACTTCTGGACTGGAGTAACATCTCCTTCCTGCTATTAAACCTGGTTGCTTTCCTAATGCAAGACCTTCCTAAGGAACTTTGTGTAAAATAAAAACCACTATGACATCCTCAGGAATAATTTGGCCATGGCAATTGTTGGCTGGTTGGCCCTCTATATCAAGGTTCCCTAAGAGCTCAGTATCAACCCCAAAAGTTGAGGATACCACCCAATATTGTTATTTGTGGTCCTTTTAAAGCCACATTTCTTTTTATTGAGCATTTTTTTAAAAACAAACTTTTACAAATGTTTAGGTCCCCCCCCCCCAACCTCCTCCCCCANTAGAATTACAGAATAGAATAGAATTACAGAATGGAATAGAATAGAATTACAGAATGGAATGGAATAGAATAGAATTACAGAGAATAGAAGAGAATTACAGAATAGAATAGAATAGAATAGAATTACAGAATAGAATAGAATTACAGAATGGAATAGAATAGAATTACAGAATGGAATAGAATAGTAGAATTACAGAATGGAATGGAATAGAATAGAATAGAATTACAGAATGGAATAGAATACAATAGAATAGAATTACAGAATGGAATGGAATAGAATAGAATTACAGAGAATAGAAGAGAATTACAGAATAGAATAGAATGGAATGGAATAGAATAGAATAGAATTACAGAATGGAATAGAATAGAATTACAGAATGGAATAGAATAGTAGAATTACAGAATGGAATGGAATAGAATAGAATAGAATTACAGAATGGAATAGAATACAATAGAATAGAATTACAGAATGGAATGGAATAGAATAGAACAGAATTACAGAATGGAATAGAATAGAATAGAATAGAATAGAATAACAGAGTTGGAAGGGACCTTGGAGGTCTTCTAATCCAACCCCCTGCTTAGGCAGGAAACCCTACACCACTTCAGATAAATGGTTGTCCAATCTCTTCTTAAAAACTTCCAGTGTTGTTGGAGCACCCACAACTTCTGGTGGCAAGTTGTTCCACTGGTTAATTGTTCTAAGAGGGAGACATTTTTCCCTTTCGTCGATACCCTGCATGGACAATCTGGAGATGTAGGGTAGTCCGCGACTTACGACCACAGTTGAGCCCAAAGTTTTTCTGTTGCTAAGCAAGACAGTCATTAAAGGTACATTGGAACGCTGCTCCCTTCCCACCAAAGGTGGCTCCTATTTTTCTACTTGCAAATTTAAATGCGCTCGAACTGCTAGTTTGGCAGAAGCTGGGACAAGGAACGGGAGCTCACTCCGTTACGCAGCGCTAGGGATTCGAACCGCCAAACTGCTGACCTTTCTGATCGACAAGCTCAGCATTTTAGGCTTAGGGACTAATTTAAACCTTAGGCTAAATTATTCCCAAGTTCAGCAAAAACAGCAAACGATAACCCAGAAATCAGGACTGTGTGATATCTGAAGCAATCCTCAACCAACCAATTCCTTTCACAACCAGGATTATCAATAGGACAATCAAGGCTGGCATTAAAGTAAAAAAGGGATTAAAATCAAGGCCTATTCATAGAAAATCTCAGAAACCCCTTAAAGAGGGTTTGTATTCTCTTTATCGCTGAATAATTAGCTATATTCTCTTTACGACACACAGGATAATGTTAATCTTTCCTGGCAAGTTGCTAAAGAATACACGTTTCTTGTTCTCTGTCTCGCTCCCCTCTTTAATTTTCTTTCTTTGGAAATGCTAATTTTCCTTCTTTATGTTGACAAACATGGTGTTTTTTTCCCCTAAAACGGGGGCCAGCAACCTTTCGGACCTCAAGGACCACTAAATTCATAATTTTAAATCCTGCGGACCACTAATAGGATCTGCTTAATGACAGGCTGGGTGGGCGTGGCTAGGTGGACATGTGACGGTGGGCGTGGCCAAATTGTTGTCACTCATGTCAAGGGGCGCCTCGCCAGCCTCTGCCCGCCCCTCCCCTCCCAGCCACTCTTCGCCTGCCCACCCGGGCTCCTTAGGGCTGCAACAGGAAGCAGTTGCTGGAGCTAAGCAGCCACCAGGAGAAAGAGTTGGCAAAACAGCTCAGTTCAAATTGGATCTGATTGAGAAGGAGGCTCGGCAGAGCTACCTCACTGAGGACTACGAGCATAGGATTTCCAAGCAGAGGGAAGACTTGTAGGAGTGCAAGGCCAGGTGCCGGCGCCTGGAGGCTCAGCGGGCTGAGATGGTCAGCCAGTTCCAGGCCATGATGCAGTCCCTCTGGAACAAGGCCCTCCGGCTCTTCGCCACCAGCGGTCCTTCCCTCTAGCCTTCACCCAAAGCCCCCCACCAGGAGGCCAAAGCAGACCCCAAGTTGGAATTTCTGCCCCCCTCTGACCCGCACAAAAAGACCCCAAAGGGGGAGACTCTTCGCAGCAACACAAGCGTTCATTGCACGTATCCATCCCAGGGGCCGTAGTTTGAGGACCCCATGATTTAGCACGATATAAAAAATTGCAAATAATTTTTTCTGTGGACCACCAAAATTTTCTCGCGGCCCAAAAGTTGGTAACCGCTGTTCTAAAAGACAAAATCCAGACCATTGTGTATTATCAGTGAGTCTTGCAGTCCAAATTCTTCAGTTGGACTCCTCTGCCTGAAATGCGGAATTCTGCTTTGCTGGTGAGAATCTCCCTATATATATATATATATATATATATATATTTTCTNTCTATTCTATTCTATTCTATTCTATTCTATTCTATTCTATTCTATTCTATTCTACTCTACTCTACTCTACTCTACTCTACTCTACTCTAATTCAACTCAGATTCTGGGTAAGTCTGCAGGTCTTCTGCCATTGGCTATTGGTAAGAGGAAAATCTGCTATTTGTCTGAGTGGTAATGTGCATTTGTTTTTGTGTGTTATTTAGTTTATAATATTGATCCTCAGCAAATATACTTAATTCTCATGCCTACTAAAGTCTCATAGCTAATGGGCATTCGATATTAATTAATTTCCCTGATTGATTGGTTGATTATGTACCATTAAGTCATTTTAAATGTCTATGGAGATTCTCAGTCATCCAGGTCATGGTTGTCCCAAAGGTGCTTTTTTCAAGAGGCAACTGGATTGAAGAAAAACTTCCAGGCGTCTGGCTTGGCTTCACCATTGGCAGGTGGACATGCGGTAGAAATGGAGTCTCGCCTTGGCCCCATTTAAAGGGGATAAGCTCTTTGGTGAGGCTCTTGACCCAGTATTGTTGGAGACCAAGGATGTCAGTGAATCCCACCACTGGAAAGGGGCTACCATTGCCAGTAACAACTATCACGTCTCTCTTCCTGTGAGTAAGAGAAATTGCCTTAGCTTCATGGGTTTGGGGGGGTCAGTCCCCTTCATCTTGGAACTCTTCTAAAAAGTTAGACTACAACTCCACTCATTCCCAACAAAATGAAAGAAAATGAAAGCACGTAAACCACATCGCTAGGTCCTGGACTTAGAAATAGAGCATCCATAGCATTTTAGTTCCCTTTATTTTCTGGAGGGATCGTGGCAAAAAATGTCTTACTTTGTAGGGTAAGGTAGCTGTGAGCGAGATTGGCAAGAGCTTCTGCTAGCCTCCAATGTTGGTTTCCATAGATAATTCTAGTGAGGACTGTGCATTGCATCAACTCCTTGCAGCTTTTATGTACCTGGGGAAGAACATTTATGTGGTTAATTTCTTATTTCAACTGTAGCTACCTGCTGGACACACATATAATCCAGGTATGGGCTTCAAAAATTTCAGCAATGTGTTCTCTGACAGGTTGGTGGGTGCGCATGGCCATGATGGGCATCGCCTAGTCAGCCTCCTGCACTATGGCGGGGGGGGACGACAATTTTTGCCTTCCCCAGGCTCTTCAGGCTTTCCTCGAGCCTCTAGGAGGGCGAAAATTGTTTCCCCTGGGCTCTGGAGGCCCTCCGGAGACCGGAAATGGGCCCATTT